ATCATGTTGTTTTAATGGATCAGTCAAATAATATTGAGCCTCCGGTGACTGAAATGGAGCGGTCAAATCATTTTGAGAAAAATGTGACAATTAGTAAACGCGAGGGGATTAACTATCCAGATTTTTTTAATGTTACTATAGTAAAATCTGTACAATTACTATAAATATTCATTCATAATAATAATTAATAAAATGTAACGTTCATCAAATATTTCTATTTATTTGTTCATAAAAAATACATTTATAACTAGAAATCACTTTTTTCCTAGGGAGGTAAGTTACCTCACCTACCTCCCGTTGTCCATAGCAACTTCCACTTCTACGGTAAAATCCATTTGCTTCCTTAAAAACAATGTAGGTATTAATAGTCTGTTTACTATAGTGGGAGCAGATAAATGTTATTTTAGACGTACCATTTTAAATATTCAAATAAATAAATAGACACTATAATTATTTATTGATTATATATTTTTTAAAATTGTTCATTTATAACAATTCAAAAGTTTTTCATCATTGTATCGACTTATCTGAAATACCGGAGAATGTAGGTGTGCTTACTTGTAATTATAATGCATTTTGTGACATTTGCTACACCTCTAAGATAAGAAATTATCTGTTTAGTAACCTGTATGGTATGAATTTATTCTGCTTATATATTTAACCATACCCAGATTAACAGATACAGTACAATTTTTATTTGTATGATGACTTATTTTTAACAATAACACAGAAATACATAATTGTATAATACATTTTCATTTATTGTAACTAATGCATACCTTTTTCTAATTGTAAGCTATTTTTAGGTTATCTAGAAAATAGTTGGTTATGCAACGATTGTGTATTGTAGACAATTTTGCCCTATAAAGTAAAAATGACGATTTGCACAAAGGTAGTTACAATATTTTTTCTACTACCTTAATGTACTTAATGATACCTGTTATCAGGTATCTCGGAAGGTACACCGTAAATCTTAAATTCTTTTTTGACCCAGCTTAGAAAACAAAAGAAGATTGTGACGTTACTTAAAAAAAAATAAAAACTGACATTTGGTTTTTTAATACCCCCCTAAATCACGAGCGATTGCATTTTTTAACTGGAACCATTATTTTTTTTATTTAAGGGGTTACGTGGATTTCAAAGATTAAAAAAGTATATTTTCTATATATTTTTTAATATAATTATAAAAAGAAATATTTTAATCAAACTTATATATAAAAGAGCAACATTTAAACAATATTCTACAAAATTTTGAAAATTCAGCCCTTGGGACCTGGTATGAGAATCCTAAAGAAACATGACATTGATGACGTTACCTAATAGCCGCAGCAATCAACATCTTGTGTTCACCGCCCACTGATCTCAAAGTTTTAAATCCGTGACAATGCTATGCAAACCAAACCGCACATACCTGCAAACAATGCCATTTTTCTCAAAAATGGCTTTCTGTAGGCTATTTTCTCAAGAGACAATATTTTTTTTTAAATAAAACGACCTTTTCAATGTTAACGCCTGTTTTAATAAAATACGACCACTGTAAAAGTTTTGACCGCTAACAGGGAGAGGTAACCGTAAAAACTATCAGCCAGTATATCGATTTGACTAAAACTTTGATCCATAATAACGCCATAATAATCCAAATGAATGTGCTAAATTTTAACGCGATTGGCAAAAGTGTTATAAAGTTATTAATTAAATTCATTTTATTTTTTACAACTTTGAAGGTTTGTAAGACAAAACCAAAAAATTGTTTTTCATAAATTGCATTTATTTATCGTCGTTAATATGCAGTCAAACGTCGGTGAAATTTGCGGACGCCCTGTATGTATAAACATAAGATAATAATATAAACAATATGAAAATATATATCAGCATGGAAAACACACGTCACATTATATTATATCTTATGGAGAAATGGCGTTTCCTTCTTGTACAATGGCGGAAATGTAGGAGGTAATTATGGTCTTTATAGCTAACAAAATACTCCGTGGCATTTTCGGTGAAACAATACAGTATTTAAAAAGACCACTTTAAAAGATGCAATTATGGAACTCTTCTTTGATATGGATCCTCACTGTTTCCGGGAAAATTGACAATAAACATTTTTAATCACCTGAATGATACAGATTTTAAAAATGAAAAACACCATGAATTATTTGTAAGTTTCATTAATGGACTGTAACTCACAACATTGACAGTAAAATCTATTTTTAACCTAACATGACTTTGTACTTTTTTTCATTAACTCGCAAGGTATTGCAGGCTTTAAATATTGCATTAAAGGATTTCACCACCAATGTTCTTATTCAGATCCATGGCAATTTTGATTTATTTTATTTTATTAAAAATTCCGAGGACATTGTTTTTATGTAAAGAAAGATTTAATTATCCACTCTATATTTCCGCTAGTTTATACGAGTTAAAACTTATTGCTCCATGAGACTACTGCAATTAATCTGTGCTTAGTTTTATTTGAGTCTTATAGGTCAATTTAAAATTATTACAAAAAAATCTTTTTGGCAGTGGATTTTGGTAACATTTTTAAACCGATACTGATAGAAAACTCTGCTTAAAATCACGTTTCCTATATCCTGTTTCAGTTTAGCATCATATTTTAGAAACACCCTGTATTTCCAACCAGTTTTAAACGCACCTGTGCTATAATTTGCGCTAATGTGATGGAGTTATGTGCGATTTCGATAGAGAGAAATCCTCATAGTTTCCTTTTCTTCTATTTTATCTATCGTTATTGTATAGGCAGGGCTCTTGGTGTCACAACAAAACTTCAAATACTAGTAACAATAACAATAGAATATTAATAGCAAGAGAAAAAACATGTGCACATGTTATATACTAAAAGTTAAGGACAAGGCGTGTGCTCTAAAACGGAGACAGAACGCACCTTTCATTTATTAAATTATTGGATGTAGGAAATATAATTTGAGCATTATTAAGGTGCTTTTACATAAAGTAACTCTTTAAATTTCAATTTTTAGTTAAACTTTCTAGAGCTAAATTGTTTTTGATATGACAAAATATATTTTTCATTCAAAAAGCAAATATTAACATTCATTTCTGGAAGCACTTGCTTTTTATTCATATTTTCATATCATTTGAGAAATTAATGTATTTCAAATATTTAGGTACTGTTAATTTACATTTTTTTTGCTTGATATATTGGCTGATCCAAACCAAAAAATACCCCTGTAGCTCGTTGGCCACGTAATTATGAGAAGAACAGATAATTGTACTAATTTCCCAAGCAACTCACTTTTCTGTGACTTCTTATTCCATTAAAAGCAGCTGTTTTCAAAAAGTTTGGAACCCCCCTTCTATCTCAGAAAATACTGCTCAAACAAAAAAATTATTAGGACAAATGTTGCAGGGTTTTGAATGAGCAATCCAACGGTGACCTTGAAGGTCATTTAGAGGTCAAGTTGAAAATTTTAAATGGAACCGTAGAATTTTAACACCGGAAATGGAAAAAAATGGAAATGTTTACGTTCGGATATGACCTTGACCATGACCTTCATTATTTAGAGGTCAAGTTGAACATTTACGGTTCCATTTAAAATTTTCAACTTTACCTCTAAATGACCTTTAAGGTCATATCCGAACGTAAAAATTTCCATTTTTTCCATTTCCGGGGTCAAAGGTATATGGTTCCATTTAAAATTTTCAACTTGACCTCTAAATGACCTTCAAGGTCATGGTCAAAGTCATGATCAAGGTCACCGTTGGATTGCTCACTCAAAACCCTGCAACTTTTGTCCTAATCATTTTTTTTTATTGAGCAGTATTTTCTGAGTGAGAGGGGGGGGTTCCAAACTTTTTGAAAACCCTGTATAACAAACATTTAAAACAGTTTCCATTTTATAGCCACATAAAGGTTGTTAATTTATTAATTAAAATGTTGACGAATTTTAACCAAAGTTATTAAAATGTAATTTTGAACTGGAATAAAAAAATATCCATAGAAGTTCGATAAAATTGGTTACAGAAAAATTTGCTTAGAATTTAGTTTAGTACATTTGTGTCCAACAAGTTGTCCCTAAATAAAAAAGCATAGAAAAGATACTTTTATAAGCAATTCTGTGTATTCGCTTTTCGAAATCTACAGATTTTTTCAATTCCGGATTCACACATAGGCATGTTTTTTATTTGACTAAACATTTTGCTAACAATTAAACAAAAATTTGAGTGTTTGATCTTTCTTTTTAAATTGTTTGCAATGGAATTATGTTTTTGTTTATTGTCTGTTGTAACATAAACGTCCAATTTAATCAAACTATTGTATTTCTTGGGCGCCATTGGATGAAATATTTCAAAAAAATGTGTAGATTTTGAAAAGCGAATGAACTAAAGGATGTTTCATTAAAAAACATGTAACTTTATTCTACCACGTCAACTAACTAGACAATTTATAACCAATTAATATTGTATTGTCCGTAACCAAAAGAATTTGGTAGTTGAAATGCTGAATGTCGGTATTGAAAACCATCCAAGATTTTTTAACAATTGTTCGAATAAAAAAAAATGAAATTCAGACACAAAGGTTATCGGACGTATTATTTTTAAATATATACAACTTTTCTTAAAAAAAAAAACATCTACACATCCTATTAAAAAAATTTTTTTGATTCTCCATATTTTAAACACATTGTATACAAAATTATAAAAAATGACGTAAACGTTTCCCTGAATAAAAAAAAGTAAAATTATTTCGAAATTTGCATTTTTATCTTATATTGAGCAGGTCAATTAATTTTACAAATTAATGAACTACATCTTTGCGGTAAATTACCCGGATGACATTTATGTTGATTAAAATTCGAGCCATATATTTAAAAACCCACGTGAAAAGTTCGTGAAGAGCTTAGTGACTGAACAAAAAGCTTTGCCAAATCGGTTGTAGTAGCATCGCGTCTGTTGACAAAGCTCTCAAAACCTTTACCAGATTCTTCAGGGAGTGTTCCAGGGTCGCACTAATCAAGGTTGGAGCGAGGTATAAAATTAAAATGAGAGCTTAGGGGGGCAGTAGTGTCAGTTTGCCTCTTTGGTAGACCTCAACACCGCCGTACACCATGTTGAGATTAGTGAGTATCAAAAAAATCAAGCCAAAGTGAAAATAAGTGATAGTTAACCAAATATACTGTCGGTTCTGAAGCTCATGTGAATTTTAACGTGGATTATCTGAAAGAGAAAGGATAGTTTTTCAGCGAAATGCGGTTCGCCTTCAGACGCATTATTTCCTTTGTTCTAACAAACCATATTTACGTTCTAAAATATTGTGATATTATTACAGGGTGCTCAAAATACTTTCATTTTGATATTAAATAGTTCATTATAACTTTTCCTAATTTAATTGACAAATTTATTTATAATCCACCAAATATGTAGTATGCTGTTATATACTGAAATACTTTGTGTAAATATAATTTCTTTTAACATTACTTAAAACTTACTTAACTAAAATAATTTGCATAATTGAATGTAAACTAGAGGGCTGAAATAACTTGATTAAATCGTTTGTCTTCATTGCAGGCCGTGTTGTCAGTTTTGCTTGTGGTCGTCTTCGGTCAAGGATACCATGGAGATTCTAGGACCGCAGCTATATTAGCTGAAGATAGATATCTCGGTGGTGATGGCAGATTCGGGGCACAGTATCAGCAAGAAGATGGAGTCAACTTCAAGGAAGAAAGTTCACCTGATGGAACTCGTCGTGGCACATATTCCTATGTTGATCCCAACGGTCAAAGGCACACCGTGAGCTACACTGCCGGTAAACATGGATTCATGGCTGTCGGAGATGGAATTCCTCAAGCCCTGCCAACCACCTTACCTGTAGCCCCACAACCAAACTACACTCCATTGCCCCAATACAATCCACCTCCACAAAACGACTACAGGCCCGAGTACAGACCTCCTCCACAACAGTACCAACCTCAACAACAGTACCAGCCTCAACCTCAACCTCAACCCCAGTACCAGCCTCAACCCCAGTACCAACCCCAGCCTCAGTACCAACCCCAGCAACAATATAGGCCCAATTATGAGACCACCACCCCTGCCCCACACAGGTTTTATCCTCCAGGAAAACTATCCCTGAACAGATCCCCTGACGGTTTCAGCTACAGTTTCAAAAAATCATAAATTAATTTAGAAATCAATTAAATTTTTTAGTGTATATAGAACAATTTCCTACTTAGGATCTCTAGTGATATATTTATAAAACTAAATACTCATGTTCTCTTCCAAAAATAGTGCCTTCACAGATATTTCATTATTAAAAATATAAAGCAACTGTTGCTCCCTTTCCTATGTTCTATGTTTACACGTTTGTTATGTATTTGTTCGATACACTTCCACATGTATTTATTTTTTGTACTTATATGTAAAATTTAAAAAAGAGACAAGTACTGAAAAGTAATAACAGACTGATAAGTACTTTAATAAAAATAGTAAAGATACTGTTGCATTCATTTACCATTTCCTTCACCTTAAAAATTCTAATTTAAAAAATAATTAAAAAAAATTACAGTAAGTTAATTCTTAATATTTCAAAAATACATAAATGTGCATTGTAAATTTTAAACAAATCTATTCGGTGGTTCTATTTTGGAAATTTTTGTTAAATATCTACATATACTATTTTAAATATGCTGCATATTTTACTAAATAAATTTTAGTCTGCTAAAATTTGCCAAGATTTCATATTTGTGATATTTTCGGCACAAGAATATGTATTTTGTACTTTATTATTATAGAGCCCTAGCCATAACAATTTAATATTTTTCTGAAGGTACAATTAATTTTACGTATGAAATGATTTGTTAGAATTTATTATTAACTTGAAAACAGTTGCTTTTACTGTCACATAAAATTTAGTGAGGAGGAAATTAAGGTTTGTTCCTTTTTAGTGAATTGGTACAAAATCGGTATGTTGGTTTTATTTCACTGAGACATTGAAAATAACAACTTTCATTACATGACTTTGACTGCGAAGCTGGGTGTGGTTCTTAAAGGTAAACACATATTTGAATAATTATTTTAATACTGTATTGTATACCGAATGTACTCCTGAACTGTACAAGTGATACATATTTAAGTCAGAAATATTTCACAGGATAAAATACATTCATTCTTATTGTTTAATAATTACTATAATACAGATTGCTTAAAAAGAGTGTACAAACTCGCAGTTTGTTTTATTTTTTATATGTGAAACTGGAAAGTGATTAAAAATTTGATTAAAAAATATATGTTGTCCATAATACTGACAAATTTTGAATTTGAGTAGTTGCTTCAAAACTCGAAAAAAAATTGTTCTGTATTTGAAAAACAATTTTTTTATCTATATGAAAATAAGAAAAAATGTTTCTAAGATAGATCTAGTGAATCGCATTCGTGCATTCGAAACTACTAGGCAAAGGGAATGTCACTAGATACGTACTGCAGTTTATAAAAAAAATGGCACGGACGAGGTCGACGTTACGCAGGAAATTTTTGTTGATAGATATCCTAAACCAAAAGTATATTTTAAAGGTTAATTCAAACAAATTCAAAAAATTTTTCTAAAAATTCTATCAAATGAAGTCAAACAATGTCCTAATCTACCAGAAATCTAGGTATGCAAATAATATCTAACTTGTTCTATGCTTGTCAGTATAGATAAACCTTCTATTTTAAAAAACCCCAAAGAAAAAATCCAACGGCGTTAAATCGCATGATCCGGGCGGCCAGTTCTGATCACCAAAACAGGAAATAACACAACTGAGAAATTACTCATGTAGTAATTAAATTGTTTCTCGGGCTATATGGCATATGGCACCGTCTTGTTTATAGCATACATATGGCACCGTCTTGTTTATACCACATGTAGTCTATATCCATATCATGCAATTTAGGCACAAATAACTGGATTATCATGTCGTGACCATTAACTGTTACTGCCCGACCAGTATGGTCCGATGATGCCTCCAGGTCAAAACCCGCACTAAACAGTGACATGTTGTGGATGCATTTTTTTCTCAACAATCACTCGTAGATTATCTGAAACCCAAATGCGATAATTTTGTTGTATAACGAAGTCATCAATATGAAAATGAGCCTCATCGTTGAAGATGATTTTTTTGAAAAAATTGACATCCACTTATTCCATATTCCATCCAATCTCTCTGTGGTCATTAGGCTTCAGTTCTTCAGTCAATTGAAGTTTGTAAGCATGAAGATGCAAATCTTTCGTGAGAGTACGCCGCAGAGCTTCTCGAAATGTCCAATTTTGCCGCATTGATGTTCCTAGACTCTCAGTAACACTCTCACGAACTGCTCCGATGTTTTGTATTGAAGGACAGCCACAGTGTCACTAATTCGTCCAGTCTTCCTTAATTTTGTGGAAGTTAAATCACTATTCCGACTATATTTTGTAGAAAATTGCGATCTGTAGCTGCCAAATCTTCAATATTTTGAAAATATTGCTCAACTATGAAAATGCGTTGTTCTTTCGTGTAGTGCTAGCATTTTAAATAAACCTGAACTATCAGCTATCACACTGTCTCTTTTATTTTTCGTTGGCTACACTTTACCCCACAAATGGCGCAAAATTGCATGAATTTTGGAACACCCGATAGAACAAAATTGTATATAAACACTTAACTTTTAGAAAAAATTATATTTTGACACGACAGTGTCAAAAATTTTTGCTATAAAATCGAACAAAACGACTACTTTAAGCAGTATCAGCAATTAGGAATCTTGATGTCTGTGCGGTTAGATCTTTTGCCTGTCCAGATTTCCGCTATCGAAGAACATGGTTTGACTTCATTTGATAGGACTATTTGTTTAAATTTACTTAAAGTCTTCAGAATGGTATAAAATACTATAATAATACTAATAATTGACTCTATGTTTTATAAAAACCAAAAGTCAACCTTTAACTTTACTACTTGCAATGAAAATAAAAGAGTGCGGGACAAAAACTAAATAATTCCCTATAATTTCGTATTCAAATAAACAGTAAGGTGCAATTTTCACAAAAATTGGAGAGTAATTTTCTTTGCTGTTCCCTGTTATGAAAGATAAAACCTTTTCCTAAATGTTACCATGATGTAACGTGTACTTGCAGAAAAGAATGCAAATATTTCAGTCACGATTACATTTACTTCATGAACTGTGACTTTATATTGGTACAATTCTGTTGTTCAGAAAACATAACACGTATTATATCCTTGAAGAAAAGAGCGTTACTAAAATGATTACAAAAGAGTACCTATACAGGCTGAACCAAATTTAATTCACACTATGGGAACAAAAATCTCGTAAAGGAATAAATTATTGTAAAAAATGTTACAAAATATGTACATAATTTTGTTTTTATACTAATAACATTCGAGGTATGATCAAAAAGTAACGGGAATTGTTAATTTTCTCAGAAAGTGTTCGTTTAATCTTCAATTTTTATCACATCCCCTTTAAAGTAACCCCCCTGTGATATACATTTGTGCCAACGTAGTTTCCAATTTGAGAAATACTGTGGAATGCCTCTTCAGGTATTGTCTTGAGCATAATTTGCGATTTTGCCTTTATCTGATTTATTGTTGAAAAACGTTGTTCTTTGAGCATCCTTTTGGGTTTGGGAAATAGGAAAAGTATCAGAGATCATATTCGGAGAATAGGGTGGTTGCATGCATGCCGCAACGGTGTGTCTGTTTCGCCAAGAAATGTTGAATAAAGCGGTATGCGCCAGTGCGTTGTCATGACGCAAAATCCACAAGATCGCTGTAGTGTTCTTGTCGTTTTCTCCTGATTATTTCACGCAAAACTTGTATTCCCGTTACTTTTTGGTCGAACCTCGTATCACATCAGAGTCGATTTCCGAAAATCTTTTCAGTTTCTAAAATTTCTTGAAAAAAGATAAAGATTCTCGAATTGTAATAATATGTATTTATTTTTTCAAACACTAAAATCAAATTCTTTTATCTATATTTATCTAATAAAGAGACTTAACTAAGTTTCTGACCAAATAGGAGATGTTGGTTAAAAGCCGTAAATATTTTTTTAATTGTACCAATATATAAAAATAAAATTATTAAACTTATATTCTTTACTTCATAAGAACAACTGGATATAAACTTTGGCTTCCTCTGGATAAGTCGGCCTAAATTATTTATAGAAGACTACTTTTTTCTTTAATGATCTTAAAAAATTATAACAAACGTGAACGAAATAGTAATAAAATGTTTGATTCACCCTGTATATTCTTCAAAAATTGAAATGTATTAGTACACCTTTATATAAATCGCTAAAAAGGTATTTTAACTTCTTTTTGTAACGTAAATATTGCCTAGTCATTGTAAAAATAAAAATAAATATGTAATTTTTTATTAGCGTAATAAATGAATTAAACGCTTAATCATGGCGTATAGTTTCATAAATGACGTAAAAAAAACAGTCAAATAAACAGATCAATGTGATAGGAAACTTAATATTTTTTGTGTATACACAGAATATCGCAATATTCCACCGACAAAATTATGCAGGTGATTCTCTAACCAATAATAATAATAATAAAAGTTCACATGAAGGTAGGTTTTATTCGTTTAACGTTTGATAAACTTGTAGCAATGGTAATATTTGCTGACCGCTTATTGAATCGATGATCTCAAAAAACCTGTAAAATCACCTTACATGTTCACATAAATTTTTCTTTTATTTTTAGTCATAAAATCACCTGGAAACATTTGTCGGTTGAATATTACAACACCCAGTATAAAACATTAAAAAGTTATTGTTGGTCGATGAAATAAAATATTATATTTTGTAGGTATTATACAGTTGTCTTCCATGAAAATAAAATAAACATGTTTTATAAATATCAAATTATTATTTATATCTATATTTTTTTCTATATTATATACATACTATAAAATAAAGTACACATTAAATAAAAATTTCAAGATTTAAAACATTATTACCACGTAATTATTAAAACTAATACCTATTTACAGCATCTACCATCAATACCATCGAAATAATAATTTACATGAATACATAACAACTATGAAATGTGTGAAATTTAAGGTAGTCATAATAGGCCTATAAGGCTTTATAATATTTTAATGAGATCTTGATAATGGAATTCCTTTCATTTTGCTATATCGATTTAAAAAAAAAATCAAAATCGGAGCCATAGAAACCGAGATATTGAGCGCCGAAGCGCACCCGTTCTTTTTGACGCGCTATTACAATATTTATAATAATTCATCCCCTTTGCGGCTCAAATGGTTGGCTTGGCGACATTTATTGAATTTTCATACAAAAAGCACACGTACTGGTGCCTCAAGACTTAACACTCCGTAATGCAGAAACGCATTCGTGAGTTGGTCATGGAAAACGATAACTCCACGAATGCTGCTGTTTTTTAGTTTTAGCTTTTTAATTTTTGACTTAATATTAGTATTAATATAATATG